TCAAATTATCTTCTCTAAAAATACAACAAAGTAGAGTGGGGTATATTTTTTAGCAACACCCTGTAGTTCGATCTATTTTTAACTAAAGTGGGACCGATATTATAACTGTATCAACCGTAGGATTAAAAGATGGCAATTGGGTATTTTAGCAGCTAATTACCATGTTCTGCATTCAGCAATTCAGCAATAAAACATCGATGGTCATTTTATCTAGTTGATATATCACTAATTTTTACAACTGAATAATACGACCTCATGTTGATTACTACAAAGCCTACTGCTTGTGAAAATTTATAGCACTGCCGTTGTTAACTCGATGTATTGTCATTCTAAGCAATTTTAAGAAACTTGATCAAAATTAATGCAAAATATAATTAATTTTGAAGAATTATTTTAAACACGGAAGATTTAAAAAAGTTAAAAATCGGGAGATTTTGACTCCCGTCGGAAGAATCACATAGGACATAACTCGTGATGAAGATAATTGTAAGCAGTTGATAAGTATCAGGAAAATCATTTTTGTACGTATTGTTTAATTTTAAAACTGCATTTTAATCTTATACAATTTATATTGACCAATGAACAAGAAAATTCTGAGAAGAAGCAATACTGTATCAAGTACATGTACAGAAAAAGAGTGAATTATGTATGTATGTATATTGTATGTATGGTGTTAAATACATATTGCTATCAATGGACATTTGAATGTTTTTTCCGTACCACAGGGACACCTCTTGTCCGTACCACAGGGACCACAGGGACACCTTTTGTCCGTACCACAGGGACACCTTTTGTCCGTACCACAGGGACCACAGGGACACCTTTTGTCCGTACTACAGGGACACCTCTTGTACGTACCACAGGGACACCTCTTGTCCGTACCACAGGGACACCTTTTGTCCGTACCACAGGGACACCTTTTGTCCGTACCACAGGGACACCTCTTGTCCGTACCACAGGGACCACAGGGACACCTCTTGTCCGTACCACAGGGACCACAGGGACACCTTACAGGCGTGCCACCCACGCAGCACTTCATAGTTTGACAGCTACCTCTACAGTAACTACTTATATTCACCGTAAGTTACATATTACATGTAGATCTGTATTTAATACTCTGTTCAAGTCCTGCATAAATATTTTGAAAAAGATAACCTTTTATATATGATGTGATACCTTCTTAGCAATAACACTCTAAATTTCATAATTTCATATTTATCCTATAATTGTAGATTCGGAGACACAGGAAGATGATGATTTGTGGAAAGATGAGATAAAAGGTCTCTTTAAAAATCCTTCTTACATATTTTGTAACAATATTAATTTTAATCAAAGATAAGCATCCATATGTGTGTGTGTCTTCAACAGATGTCATTTTTGACTGTAATGTTAAGCAATATTTCTGAATGTTTATCAAATATATTACCAATTTTAGATGAGTAAAGATAAGTGTGTTAATAAGAAATGTTTTGACTGTGATAGGTATATTAGCATGGGCTGTCATTATGACGATTTCCATCATATGTCTTGCTCTAAAGAAATGGCTGCAAAAGATGTGTAAGCGTCAGTGCATGCATGCCTCCAATGAATCACTGTCTACACCAGGAATGACTGTAAATCCCACATTTACTCCACAAACAGTTGGTGGGTGGGGATTGAACACTCCTCCTTCCCAGGCCACAACTCCAAGCACAATTATTTCAACACCAAGCACAATTAATTCTACACAACCTCAAATTCCTCCTGATGCTCCGGTATCTGCAAGGACAAGAGCAAAGACTGCAAGAAAGCTAAGTTTGTAGAAATAAACTGAACAATTTTATTTGATTTTCTGGAGTGAAATTCCGATGTTTTTTTTAATTAATTAAGAAAGGAACACAGTGTTTAGCATGTGATGGTACACACTTTTTTCTCCAAATAAAAGTTGTTTTATTTGGAATTACTTGATATGCATGTTATATTTTTCAAACCCCAGGAAAATTATTTTAAGATTTAAGTTCTGTCTTGAACACTACTTTAAAAAAAAGGTGTGACTCACGATAACATGTGTACTCTTGAATGTTTTGATTTTAAAACTGTAACACTGTTTTGTTGTTTTACACAAGAGACATAACTCGTGGTTTGTAATTATAGAATATATATATATATATATATATATATGTGATAAATTTGTAGTTGTTTTAAGCATGGGAAATGACACTTGTTGTACATGATATTCACTAAATCATTTTTTTTTTTTTTTTTTTTTTACAAATTATTAGCTGTTTTTTTAATGTGGAATTCAGTGATAAAAACACTCCAACCGACTGAAAAATATCATTTCTCATTGTAACAAATTCATATATTTGTATAAGTACATTTTATTTTGTGTGTAATTATAATCCAAGAAAAGTATTTTAAACCTAAGTTCTGTTTTGAAGACTGTAATTTTGAGAAAAAAGTTGTTACTTATGGTAGCAGAATAAACGCATAAAAAAGAAATGTATATTATTTTAATAATTGTGTTCTTTTTTTTAAATCAATAATATTTAGTTCTGTTTTAGAATACTGTACTTTTCATTAGGGGAAAAGATGTTGTAAATATTGTTACAAGTATTTTTGATTAAAAAAGTTTCTATTTAAACATTTGTTGTTGCTTTTTTTTTGTATCCTCTTACATATACAGTCCAAACACCCCTGGTTCCAAAGAAATTGGGGGGGGGGGGGGGTTAAAAAACACCCAGATTAGACAGGTTTCACTATACTTATTTTTTTATTTACACATTAAACTTATTTAGCAGGTTTTGTTCTGAAACTGAAAGAAGAATAAAGTTCTTAATCACATGAGGTATAATTTGTGATAATTATTTGTTCATATCATTTTTCAATTAGACATGGCAGAGGATAGTCTCTTGAAGGAAATACTTGACTCCCTGAATGATGTGGACACCATTAACTTGTTTGCTGCAGCCAACAACATAACGGGAGACCCTGAGGTTGAGAACCGAATAAAGGAACTTGAATATGAAGAGCACATTAACTCTTTATGGGAAGAGCTTCTTCCAGTCTTGGAACCACCAACTAAGAAAAAAAGACCGTCTTCATATAATAACCAGCCATCAACAAGTGCTCAGACAGGGGGTGGGGATGAAAGTATGGAAAAAGAAAAACCTTATTTCATTTGGAAAAAAGATACCAGAACATTTAAAAAGAATCTGGCCCTTGACACAAGTTATAAGATCAAATTCAATGATCAATGGCGAGGAGAAAAATTAATAGATATTTATGACAAACTGCATGACATGTTTGATGACGTGCTGTCGCAGGCCAGAGGACATGATGCGGACTTGGGGAGAGTGGTGTTGAGCCACCCAGATTTAAACAATGCCATTGTTGTCCCACTGCAAGCATGGCAAAATCTCAATTCTGATACCGTTATGTCAGAGATCACAAAAGTACTAAATTCTAACGAAAATATACCTGTTGACGAACACTTGCTTGTCACTATAGGGTCTATAAATTTACCAAAGGGTGGGAGCTGGAGTGGAAATAAATTATCTGTTACATCACTCTTTGGACCCAACAATTCTCTGATGAGGAAGAAATCTGTCTTGTACGTTGAAAACGACAACAATCTCTGCTTACCTATCTCCATAGGTCTCTGTTTCATGAAGACATGTAAGAAGGTAGATGCTGCGTCATGGTCTCGCTTGATTGGAACAACCCCAGGGACGATACTGGATCACGTGATTCAACACAGAACTGTTCCCAAATGGTATTATGGTAATTTACTGAAAAAATCACGCAGAAAACAGCAAACAGACATGGCTACACAGCTTTGTGAAAGAGCAGGCGTACCTGTCGACAGATACTTGGGGTTGAATGATATAGAGCCATTCGAAATCCTGCTGAATGTGAGTATTAATGTGGTGTCATCTCGAGTAGGCAACAAATTTGTCAGAGTTACAAAGGAAGATATGGGCCGAACTCGGCTCTATTTGTATCATGTGGAAACAGAAAATGAGAAACATTGGCATGGGATTGGGAGCATACAAGGTTTTTTTAATTCATCGTATTTTTGTCATACTTGTTTAAAACCATACAAAGACAAATACAAGCACACTTGTTCGACTTCCTGTGATGTGTGTTTACACGATACTTGTCGCAAGGCAGAAATTCAAGTGGGATGTCAAGCATGTGGTCGTGTGTGTCGTTCGCTTGCCTGTTATGAAAGACACAAGGTCGGTAAAGTGGTTAAGAAAGACAAAATTCCTCCCGCTTGTGAGTTATGGCATCAGTGCAAGAAATGTCGTGTAAAGCTTTCAGTTGCTAAACGCAAACCCAAACTTCATGTCTGTAGTGAGTGGCAATGTTCCAGTTGTGGCGAATACCACGTAGGTGAACATCTCTGTTTTCAAAAATCTTGCATTTGGATCCGGAAGAACGAAAAAAGAAGAAATTCATCTTTTATGACTTTGAGACGCGACAGGACGACATTTTTCAATGCGATCAAGGCTATACCCCCTCTTGCATCAGATGTCGAGAATGTGCCAAGAAGGAACGACAGTGTGCCAGCTGCAGACTTTGTCAAAATTGTCAGGATCCGTCTTGCGGACTGCATCAACATAAAGTCAATTTTGCAGTCTTGCAGACTTCTTGTCATGCCTGTGAAAAAAACGAATTAAACAAAGATTCTACATGTAGCGAGTGTGGTGCACGCTGTATCAAGTGTTCCCAAATGAAAAAAATCAAAATTCGTCCGTTCTCCCTGTCCAAATACTTGTGGGCACCGGGAACTGATCTTTCGTGGTGAAGACGCCGCACAGCAGTTTTGTGCATACGTGACTCAACCACACGTCAAGGGCACAATTTTAATCGCCCATAACGCCAAAAGTTTTGACTTGTATCCCATTTTAGAGGTTCTCATTGACCGACATTCGATTCGACCAGATAAAATCATTTACAACGGATCCAAAGTAATGTACATGCACATTGCAAACAAACTGAATCTCACATTTTTGGATTCGTTGAATTTCCTTCCGATGAAATTGGCAAAGATCCCAGAGGCGTTTGGACTAGAGGAACTCAGCAAAGGACTTTTTCCGCATTTTTTCAACACAAAAGAAAATCAAACTTACGTTGGACCCTTTCCAGCTCTAGAATATTATGGATACAATTTTATGTCGTCGGGAGAGAGAAAGAAATTAGCTGAATGGCATGCAAGTAAGAGTTCTGAAATCTTTAACTTTCGAGAAGAGATGCTGAAATACTGTCGATCAGACGTTGACATCTTGAGACGGGGCTGCAAAGCGTTCCGAAATACCGTCATTCAGGCCACAACTGTAGAAACATCAGAAGTGGAACCCGATGGTACTATTTCAAAGACTATCACCGACGGAGTAGATCCTTTTGAGTATGTTACAATTGCTAGTGTTTGTATGGGTATATTCAAAACCCTGTTTCTGAAACACAGTATGGAAGTAGAAGTCACTAGGGATCAGGAATCTACCTGGCACAAGTTAGAAGACTTTGAGGGAGTAAAGGGTGTGTGGCTTGATGGGAATTGGGTTTCCCTCATCGACTTGCAAAACGAGGAAAATACGGAAGTTGGAAAACGACAATTGACGAGTCCCATAGCTGTCGTACCTTCTCAAGGATATACTTATAAAGAGAATTTCAGCAAGATCTCCATTCAGTGGATAGAGTGGCTCATGGCCCAAAGCCAACAGCGAGGAAAACCCGTTCATATTCGTCACGCTCTCAATGGGGGAGAGTACCACATACCAGGCACCAATTACCGATGCGACGGTTTTGTTGAGAATCCTAAGAGGAAAGGCACCATATACGAATTTTATGGTAAGACATTTTTACTCTGTATTACAACATTTGGTATTGAATTTGCCCCTCCCTTTCCCGTAACTGAGGGGAGGGGCGGCGAATCTCGTGTTGAAAACGTTTGTTTTATATGTGTTTTTGTTAGGTTGTGTGTACCACGGGTGTCCGGATTGCTTCCAGCAGGATCGATCTGATGTGAAACACCCTGCGACGAACCAGACATTAGACGAACTCTTCAAGATGACCAAAAAGCGAGAAAGAGAACTAAAAGAACTGGGATACGATCTGGTCGTTGTATGGGAGCATCAATTTCGTTACCAGCTGGAGAAAAATGCCGCCTTGCAACAATTTATCAACACGTTGGATCTGCAAGACCGACTTGATCCCCGTGACAGCTTCTTTGGGGGCCGCACCAATGCCATAAAACTCCATTATAAAGCTAAAGAGGACGAAATCATTCAGTATTATGATTTCACCAGCCTCTACCCTTGGACAAATAAATACTGTCGTTATCCCGTGGGTCATCCGACCATTATCACAGAAGATTTTCAGGACATGTCAAACTATTTCGGTCTTGCTAAAATCAAAGTCCTGCCACCTAGAAAATTGTACCACCCCGTACTTCCGTACCGCTCTCAAGGGAAACTGAAATTTCCTTTGTGCCGCACGTGTGCGGACGCTGAAAATCAGCATGCCTGTACTTGTGCTGAAGAGGAAAGAGCCATTACGGGCACATGGTGTACTCCCGAAATCCAAATGGCAGTGTCAAAAGGGTACCAAATTTTGAAAATTTACGAGATCTATCACTTCGAGCAATCGACTCAGTATGACCCAACTTCGGGTGAGGGGGGTCTGTTTGCAAAGTATGTTAATACGTTCCTGAAGATTAAACAAGAAGCCTCGGGATTTCCCCCCGAGTGTGTCAGCGAAGACTCGAAACGGGAATATATTAGGCAATACAAAGAAAAAGATGGCATAGACTTAGAGTACGACAAAATTCAAAAAAATCCGGGTTTACGCTGTTTGGCCAAACTCTGTCTTAATAGTTTTTGGGGGAAATTTGGTCAGAGACTGAGCATGAAACAGTCCATGTTCTTTCACGAATCCGAATGTGATAAATTTTTTCAGATTCTCTCAGATCCTACTAAAGTCCCTCACAATTTTCACATTGTTTCCAAGGACACCATTCAGTTTGAATGGAGTAATCACCCTATGTTTATGCCCACTGATTGCAAAACAAACATATTTTTGGCAAGTTTCACAACTGCGCATGCGCGATTGCGCTTATATAGTGTATTAGATCGGTTGGGGGAGGAGGTTTTGTATTTCGATACAGATAGTGTCATTTTCAAAACCCAAAAGTCGGACGACTTGCATTATCTACCCATAGGAAATTATTTAGGGGAATTGACCAACGAGATCAGACCAGAAGATGGTTACATTGTAGAATTCGTGTCGGGGGGTCCCAAAAATTATGCATACCGCACTCTTTCTGGTAGGGAAGAATGTAAAGTTCGTGGGTTTACTTTAAACTGGGCCAACTCTAAAGTGATCAATTTTGAAGCTATCAAATCCTTAATTTGTACAGCACATGATAAGCAAATTGAAATCACTAATCCCTGTAAAATATCCAGGGACAGTCGAAAAAGAAAATTGTTAAACCGTATAGAAACCAAACGATATCAAATGGTTTACACCAAAAGAAGAATTCTACCCAATGTAGATACACTGCCATTTGGATTTTGTGAAAAACTATGAAAATAAAGATGTACATTTTAATATCCATTTTTATTTTATTATTCACATCACAATTTAATGTATTTATTATCATTATTGTATATATCACATTATGTACAATAATTTTTTTTTTCAAAAGAACAGTCTTTTTCCCCCAATTTAACACTCAGTACGTAAGCCAAGGAATGTGTTTCTTGCGTCGTTTCATGGGCACACCAGGAGGTTTTCCTATTGTTTGAGTTCTACTGACGTAACCATTTCCTGTCTGTGAGGTGTCATTGATTGATTCACTCATCGTTGTATCGGTGAAGGTCTTTTCAGACATCGGTTTTGGATCCTTGTTGTCATTCACAGTGTCTGGTTTAACAGGCTCTTCTTTATCCTCGATTTTTTTAAGGAGATGTTCGTATTTTAATTTAGGCACTAGTATCATTTCCCTCGCCATTTTTGTCTAATTGATGGACAATGGGTTTCAGTAACAGTGATACTAATGGTAGATGTTTCAACAAAATCTCACGTTTCCGTCTCGTACTGACTTCTCTCGATCCCAGTGATCGAATGTACGACTGGTAAGGTTTCAGCCGATTTAAATACTTCTTCGTCAGAGGATATGTTCCCGTGTAAATATTTAGAGCTATTTCACTGATCGCATCGTATTGCTCACTAGTCAAAGACTTAACAATCAGTTTCTGTTGAGCGCTGTTTGCACTCAACAGAAAATTTATAAATGCCCTCTGCTTCCGTATTCTCTGATTCATTTTTGCAATATGAATAAATTGTGATCAAGCACATGTATTTATAGGGGCTGATAAATAACCATGTCCTCTCCAGGCAAGATGTGAGATCGAAGTTGGTATTCTTTGTTCTGGGTGGGTTCTAAACACACATGCAAATAGCCAAAATTTTCACGTGTTGCAGCTTCGTATGCTGCTTTGAAAAATGGTACACATCCTGGTAGTATTTGTGATCCGAAGGTGATTATCTGGCGGGAATCACGGTAATTCTTGAATAAAATGACATTAAGACAGTTCAGGGATATGGTCCTGGCATATTTACCAGGAGGGTACAAGTTTTGAGACAGCATCACAGTGGTAACGTTACGGTGATGAGAAGTCACCGTAAAAAGATGTACACAATCCTGAGATTGCGCAACTTGTAGCATAAGATCGTCTAATACCACTATCGTGTGGTTTACACCCTCGGTATACTGCTCTATATCTTCCTTGGAGGGTAATCCTTGATGAAAAATGAGTCTCGGTATGTTTGCCATCATGTCGTCAAATATGGGTTGATATTCAGAATAAGCATATATGATTTTATCTACAGAAGTGGAAAACATGCCATCTGCATTTTGCAAGAGTCGTTTAGTGAAATGTGTCTTTCCACTTTGCGTACTACAACTAATTAAAATTGTGGTGGGTGCTGAAAATGGTAGCAAGGATTTTGTTTTCCACCATTCGCTCTGCGTTACCATGTTTCCCCTTCCTCTACCGATTCTCTAATGAGTTGACAAGTTAATTGAACAAGTATTTATAAGAACTCACCAATGTCATATATTATGTTTATTGATACAAGAATTCATGCATAAAACTACGTACAAAGTCATCATTTAGTTGAATGCTACTAGAAAATAAAGCATAAACACGCGACAAAGACATTTTAAGACACAATCTAGAAATTAAAAACACAAGTACATAAAGCCCACACAAATCTGAATAGGAAGGCTGAAGTTGTTTACATTTTAAATTGCAATGTTCACTATTCTTATAAATAAAGTTCTCAATCTCTTGGTAATTCCCAGGTGGTTTCCCTAGACTGTCGAAAAAGTCCGCCTCTAAGGAACTGTGTATGATTACAGCGACCCAATGTTCTCCTGGAAATGGCAAAGGTTGCGTATTGATGATGAAGACACTAGGGTAACACGTCACAACTTCCGGTAAAGTATTACTGGCATATACTCCTTTTACAAATCGTTTTAGGTTAGGTACATTGTGCACAACATCAAGGAGCTGTTTTGAATTCATGGTTGAATGTAATTGATGTCCCGGGACTTGTCTACTTCTAGTAGAGAGGAAAATGTGGCAAACACCAAAACGTTGGCAGCTTTTGTTGTTCCTTGCTTGAACTTTAGTTCGAGTCTGGTGTTTCCCCTGCGAATCAGGTTTAAATATTCTTCACCAAACCCACAGGGATCTATGGTAAAGACGAACAGAGAATATCCACTTCCAAAGTTGTCTCGAGTAATTACTAGACCGGCGTCTTGATTCCATTTTCCAGAGGCCTCAAACAGTCGAGCATATGCTGATGAATAATGCCCTGTCGTGAAATCGGTTTTTAAGGGTCTTCCTCCGCTTTCTCCGTTTACGTATATCCCTACATCCGTTACACCAAAATGCTCGAAATTAAACGGATTGGTTGTGTAATCCCCGTTTACAGCTTTCTGATCTACCAAACCTACCACGATACGGTCGGGTACTGCCTGAGGAAAAATGTTTTCCCAATAAAATTCAGTAGATCCTTTAGGAATGGTGTTCATTTTCAATTCATTTCTTGAGATGGTGTATTTCACAGGAGTATTTTCTATCTGCTTGCTGTGGTTCAATAGAACACCAGGATCTACTCGCACTTTGGCCACTTTGTACACGACATCTAGTAATTCCAGTTTGTAGGCCGGGGTGCTCTGTGCCGACATCATTACAAAAGGTGCACTAGATCTAAAGAGTTTGATGAAGATGTCTACACCGTTGATCAGGTATTTGTCGATGTCAAAGATATCTTCCATCAGGTTACCCTCCAGTTCAAATACTTTACTTTCTTGTGTATAGCCATAGCGCAGGACTAGTCCAGCATTGCCACCATTGTAGGCGTTAGCGTCACCCAAATTTCCTTCGTCCTTGAAAAACAACTGAGACTGCTTCTGAGAAGATAATTCCTCTTTTCCACCAAACAAGATTGTTTTCAGGTACGCCTTCCAAGGATAATTATTTGTATTAAAGGATACCAACTTGTTGTTTAAGTAGACATCCATCTGAGAAAACATGCTTTGTAATGGTAGATTCGCAATTCCAGTCTTCTCGTTGGCCGCTAATGACGTACCATCCGCTTTCAAAATTCTGGCTTTCACATATAATCGACTTCTTTTTAAGTCGATATATTCGGCTCCCGATCCAGACACGATTATTTCTATGGGGGTATCTGACACTCCAATGCTGGAAATCGGTCTGGCTTCAGTAAAATACACTTTTTCGACTGCTACTTGATTAGTGGGTGCAGCAAAGAGAGAAAGTTCCATTGGTTGGGCTATGTCTTTATTATCACTGCTTAGGAAGGCCATCCTTACTGTTTAAAAACGTTCTTGTAACTATCGATCTTAAAAAGTTTTTTTGGCTTTTGTGATGCCTTTTTTCCACCAGGTGTATGTCGTTTTTTAGATCTTTGGTTTGTTGTCTTTTTTGAGACTGGTTTTTTCTTCACAAGACTGGTTTTCTTACTCTTCCTCCTCTTGTGCGATGTTGACGTCTTCAATTTTTTTGTAGAAATGACTGATGAGTGCTGCGATGGTCTTTTTATACCCTTCGTGACCTTGACAAAGGGAACACCTTCTTTTACGTCTTTTACATGTTCCGTTTTGGCTCTCTCTTCCACGGGTGTCACTTGAGAAATAGGACTAACGGATTCTAACTGTGAATGAGGTCTAATGGGAATTACGCAAGATTTTCGTGATCTCATACCCCTTCCAATCTGTTTGGGTTTATATTTGTACGGGCTGAACTTTTTCTCAGCCATGTTTTTGTAAAAAGCTTCCCAGATTTTAGGGTCGCTGATGTACGTCTGACTATTCATCATAAAACGTAAGGGAACTTCTTAAAGTGAAGTGTAGCGCTCACCGGTCCGTCTAAGAATGACACTAAATTGCCTGCTCTGTCCGTTATATATATACAGATCTGCTGTAATTGACCAATCTTTACAGGGAGGTAATAAGGTAACCTGTAGATGATGTTGTTTTCTTCCTTTTCTCCAAGAAAAACTCGCCGTAGAAGGGGTATGTATGTCCTTGCCACCAACAATGGTTTCCTCACATATGTCACAACATATATACACCTCGGGAGTTTTCTTGTCTGGATCCCAGCTCTCTGTAGTGAATTCTGTTAAAGCAACTGTCCAGTATCCATCTAACTGAATCTGTTTATTCAACTGAACTCGAAAACAATTGGGTTTATTGTCAAAATATTCGGAGCTGTCTGTAGACCTCAACACCATTCGAAGGCTCATCTTGACTGATTATGATTCGTTGAAGAAAACTGTTTTTATTTGGTGTTTTCTAGAGAACTTTCGGGAATCCACGAATTGAATTTACTAGGCCATCCGTCCCATTTTACGTACACTTCCTTTGTGTTACTGCGTTTTCTCTTTTTCAACACCCTTTCCACCCTATACAAAATATCTCCCGACTTCAAGACTTTTTGAAGTTCCGATTCATGAAAAGTACCCTCTATTGGATCCTCGGCTAAATCCGTTATTTTGTACACAGGTATACCATCTCTCTTGTATCGATTAGACACTTTAAAATACTCCTCAGTCCATTTCTGCTGGTAATCTCTTTGAAAAGGATGTTTTAGCTGTGAAACACGTACGTCATCTCCTATCTTGTACTTAAAAATTCGTTTAGTCCTTTTCTTTTTACCTAACGATTTATCTGGTTTTCCCAATTTGCCTTTGTTCACTGGATTCTTTTTCTTCGTACTGAGGTAGGAAATGAGTCTCACTTCATCTGCATTTTCCTTGGTGACAGTTGCAGGTGCTCGCTTTCCTAAAGATCTGTGAGGTCTCTGGTTATAACTAGTCACTAAATCTTGTAAAACGTCGACATAACGATAGGTTCTGTTCTTCAGGAAATAACGATACATAAGATTTTTCATGGTACGGATGACTCTTTCTGCATAATTTGCTTTCGTTTCATTCTGGGTGTATATGGTATGGACGCCTTCTTTTTTAAAAAACGTCTTTACCCAACGATTTTT